TTTTTAGCACTGCTTGAATTTCATCAAGAGAATCAGCAAGCAAATATTATAGAAACTTAACTTTAGGGCAAAATATATGTAACTTCTCAAGATATATATACACTTAAATCCTGTATTATAGACAGACAGACATCCCATAATATATATACATATATAACCACACACAAAGCACTGTTTCAAAGATCAAGAATATAAAAAATAAAAAAGATTTTGGCATTGTAACCAAAACAGATGGAGAAATTGCATCTCAGCGAAAGTGATAGGAAAGGGTTTGGTAGTTTTTCTTTGGGACGGAGAGGGACAAGGATGACAAAAGAAAAACTGTCCACACAGGTCAAACAAGTTTCTTAGAAACTACTGTTTCTGCCCAATTTTAAAGGCAAGATGCATTCAGATGACAAAGTTATTAATAGTCTGGGTAGAGTGGATAACTGGGATTTCTGCTCCCTCTACTGAGATTTAACTTAGTGATCAAAACTCCATTAAAAGAAAAGGGAAATTTTATGCTTGTTTTCAGCTGCTCGGTATTTGAAATTTGCATTGGTTAAACATGACATCTAATGTTATACAAGAAAAAAAAAAAAAAAAAAAAAAAATCACACGTAAAAAGCAAGACCTTTCTTTCTCGCTTTTCATTTCACCATTACCTCCTTCAAATAACGAACTGGGCAAGTTGCATATCTGAATCGTTTCAGAAACTAGTTGAAGTATCGGATGGAGAAGAAACATCACAATACACATTTGCTAATCTACAGCATCATAACCAACCAGCTCATAAAATTCTGAAAAATGATCCAGGTTGTAGCCATATTGGTCTAGAGAAAAAAGCTATCAGGACTCGTGGTAGAGGCGACATCTTTTATTTGACCAACTAGATTTCTAAAAAACCTCAAAACTTTAATTGTGACCTTGTGGGCACAAACACCCTTCTTCAGGCATGTAGTCATATTTCCTTCTGGTTATGGTGTTTCATATTTCAGAGGAATAAATAGATGGACTGGTCTTCTGAGCAGGCATTTTCTTATGCTCAGAAGAACATTCCATCTCTTTACTCCTCTGTGAAATATGAAACACCATAACCAGAAGGAAATATGACTACATCCTGCTTAACACCAAACAACTTTGAGGTACACAGACTATTCCAACTTTTCTCTGAGCCTAAACTGCATACAAAATGAACTGTTGCAAACAGGAGATTTTACCACACCTTCAACTCTCCTATGAAATATGAACTTTCATTTCTACCCAGGAGAACTTTTACAACCTTTTTTCCAATGCCTGAAGAAGGATGTTTGTGCCCGAAAGATTGCAATTAAAGAATTTTTTTTTGCCAAAATCTAGTTGGTCTAATAAAAGATATCACCTCCATCTACCGTGAGTCCTGATTGCTTTTTCCTCTAGACCAATATGGCTACAACCTACCTGGGTACCAAATCACTCTGAGGAATTAATTGTGATGGCCCTATCTACTCTGTTCCTTACACAGAAGTTTATAAACAAATGGAAATCTGGGATACCAATAAATAACAACCAATTTAAAGCTATTAGGAAGAATATTTATTTGTATGCAGAATATTCAAAACAATCTATAAAACAGCTGGAAAAAATGGGAGGTGGGGGTATTCAATAAATATGTAACTACCATTTCAATTAAGAACTGAGAAAGCTAACAATCCACAGATGTACTTTGCCAGCATATTAAGGGACAGAACTGTCATCCTAATACTTCTAAAGGGTAAAAATAAATAAATAAATAAATAAATAAAATCAGGGTAACAGAGATGAAATTGAACCAAAATCCCATGTACTTCACAGTCTTTCTTTATACATTTACCAAGGGAACAATAATTTTTATTCTGTACAAATTATCTTGATGGAGAAAAGGGCAATGCCATATTTGTGTATCAATATATTATTTTAAACCAGTTATTGGAAGTTAAAGCCATCCAATCTCTAGGACAAGAATAAGGACACAGGACTCCTCCTGGTCCTTCTAGTCCCAGTACCAGGCCTAGAAAAATGCTAGCTCCCTTTCTCAGCTACATACCTGGGTCTTGTAGATTTGTGGTACTGACTGGTTTCTTCAGTTCATACCCCAAAAGATATAAGGCTAGGTTGGGTGGACTACACTCAAGAGATGTGATGAGAAGGTTCAAGATGTGAATCCTGGTTTCATGGTGGATTCGAGCCTGCTTCTTTTCAAGTTCCAACTCTTGATTAGAAAGAGCAACAGGTCAGATGCATGAAGAAATGAAGAGCGTCTAATACAATGCATAGGCATTCACTAGCCACTATTTACAAAGTAAACAAAAGAAAAACAAAGAAAATCTCGCACCACTTTAGACATATCCAGAAATTAATTCCAAATCACTGTTGATACAACCTTAAGCAATTTGTTCAGAGCAACTTCTAACATTTTCTTCTTAAAGACTGGTTAATATTATTAGTAGGCTTCCCTTACAACGCCTTTCAAATTTCAAATACATGCAAAATATTTTTCTTCCTGTTACAGGACCCTTTCTGCAACTTATGTCAGAACCACATGCCTGGTCATTTGACAGCTGCAATTGTATCATCTTTCCTTTCAGTAATTTGAATCTACACAAAAGATATTTGTGTAAATAAAAACTGACCACATACCCTCTTCTGGACTAATTATTTCTTCTGCATCTTCATTGTCCAAACATTCTACAAACCCAGCCATCAGCTTCTGGTTTATACTCTGTATTAAGCAACAGAAGCATGAAATAAGTTTAGAGCAAAATAAAATGTTGTTTTAAACATGATTTAAAATACACACACAACTAAAAGGGAGGTGAACACCCAATGGAAGGGAGAGGCCATCATCAGGGAGGACTATACTGCAATTGCTTGGGGATGCAGGGGGGCAGTCAAGAAGGCCAAGGCAGAGATGGAACTGGGACTAGCTACCTGAATCAAAGACAACAAGAAGTCTTTTTTTAAATACATGGGGGCAAAAAGAAGATACTGGGTAACGTGGGGCCCCTGCAAGACACGCTAGGAAATTTGGTCGTCACACCAGATGACAAAGCTAACCTATTTAACCACTTCTTTGCCTCCATTTTCCTGAGCAGGGACCGGATCAGCCCCCCCACCAGGCCCCAGGGAAGGTGCACCCAGGCCTAGGGTCAGTGAGGACCTAGTCAAGGAACTTCTGGAGGGACTGGATGTATTTAAATCAGCTGGTCTGGACGATCTCCACCCCAGAGTGCTGAGGGAATCAGCTGAGGTCATTGTGGGACCCCTGGCACGGCTTTATGAGCACTCGCGGTGCTCTGGTTGCTGCCAGAGGACTGCAAGAGGGCCAACGTGGTTCCCATCTTCAAAAAAGGGAAGGAAGAAGGACCCAGGAAACTATAGGCCAGTTAGTCTTACCTTGATCCTGGGTAAGCTTTCTGAGAGAATTATTCCGGCACATGTCCACAAGGGGCCAGCAGGGAAGGTTATGCTTAGGGGCAACCAGCACGGGTTCATTAGAGGCAGGTCCTGTCAGACCAACCTGGTGGCCTTTTATGACCAGGTGACCAAATCTTTAGATGCAGGGGTAGCAGTGGACATAGTCTTTCTGGACTTTTGGAAGGCCTTCGACACTGTCTCTCACCCCGTTCTCATTAAAAAACTGGGGGACTGTGGTGTCGACACCTACACAGTCAAATGGG